TTGGTGGTGGCGAGAGTAAGCTCTCATTGACATTGGTTTTCAGTTTATGAATCTTCATCAGTGTTATATTGGTGCATTTCTGCTTTCGGGACACTGATACTGTCTGGCCGTCAATTTGATTGTGCAATCTGGTTATTGTCATCTCGCTACTGCTCATTTTCCTTGCACTTGACAATAATAAAATATTAAGAAAATACATATCTATTCCTTTCCTTAGACAATAGTAAATATAAGGTTAAAATTGAACCTCAATGGTGACCGTGGGAACGCTTCTCCTCAACTTGCACCTGTCTGTATTTTCAGCTTAGTTTGAAAAGACTGTGACCCGATGCGCAGTGGTCCCATAACGTGGTATGGGCTGGGTTTTTTCCTCCCTTCAAAAGAACTCGTCGGACTACCCCTGATAGGTACCCGTGTCTGATGGTAAGGAGGGGGCTTATGACCTTCCATGGGAGGTGATCAACTTCCTACCAACGAGGCCGCTAGTCGCCCCTCTTTTGGGGTCCTACTAAGAGGTAGTTAATAGGTCACGCCTGCAGTGGAGTGAAATGTGAAGGGTCGGCCAGTCTAGACCATCCGCTTACGAACACGGTTCAAAATTGAACCGTTTGTTCCCCCGCGAAGTGACGGGGGAGGGAAAACTAAGAATTCAACAGAACAAAAAAATTAGAGAAATAATAAAAGAAAAAGAATGAAAAGAGAATAATCCTTAGCGCTGTCGTTATTGAGAGTCGCCCGATCGTCCCGGTCTGGATTTGAATGTGAGTACGAAAAGCGGCGCTCTGTTTCTTCACTTTTCCTCCTCTTCTTATGTTTTGTATTTTTTACTTTTTTTTTTTTACATTTTTTTTTCTTCGGACCTTGCAGTCACTACACCTATCCCATAACTCAACCGCTAGGACCTATCGCGTAGTTGAAAGGACTGCGCTGATCCTCTCATCTTTGCATCCCTGGGCAAGCCCGATGGCTACCACGACCACAGGCCGGTAGTGCCCTGCTGTACAGCAGGGCGCCGAGCCTGCGTGGACCAAAGGAAAGTCCATTGGCGCACCCTCCTTTTGCGAGGGGAGTGCAGACTAGACCTGTCCCAATCTGCGTGGGTTCGTAAGCAACTAATACGCCGCAAAATCTGAGCAGAGAGCAGATACTCCTCGGGCGTTCGTGAGCAGAAGTCGGGTACGCCACGGAGGTTCATGAGTAACTGGCACGCCATGGAGGGACGGTACTTCACAATTACAAAGTTTTTCTACAACTAAAGAATAAGCATGTTCCTGTGCCATCACGGGACACCACTCCCTCCGACAACGTCGACGCTAAGAGGTGAGAGGGGCGTTGCAGGGCAGGCATAGCCTGGCAGCAGTGGGCGCATGCGGGTAATGGGTGACGGGGGTCTTCGGGCAGGAGGCGCATGAGTTGGTGGTCAAGGTCTGATGAGGGGAGGAGAGAGAACGTACCTAGTGGATGTGGGAGGTCGGCATTGGTGTTGACGTCATGTACATTGGTCTTCAACGTCTGAAGTGATCCTGTTGCACGAATGTAGATAGGCTAGATAGGCTTAGTAGAGTAGGCACTAGGCACCAGATAGAGATGAGCGACATTGGATACTATGTTGGTGGGGCCTGAGGGTGATAACATTGGCACACGAGTTCACTGTTTGCCCTTATTTCGATGGAATCGTGGTGCATTTGAGCTCTGTGCTTGGTCCATGACTATCTGGACTTCTGCCTGATTTTCCAACTTGTATTTTTGTCTATCCTTCTCGCTCATATTCCTTGCACTTCCGAAGAACGAAAAAAAAACCGGATTTATCAAGCAGAGAAATTTCCAAATTCGTGAAAAAGAGGACTCAAAAATTTCAGCTACCGTGCAATTTCGGATTTCACGAAAATTTTGAAAAATGAATTTGTGCCAAAGTAAGAATTTCTAAAAAAGGAATCCTGGTGAGTGGGTAGTCAAGGTCTGATGAGGGGAGGAGAGAGAACGTACCCGGTGTATGTGGGAGGTCGGCATCGGTGTCGACGTCATGTACATTGGTCTTCAACGTCTAAATCTTGTTGCAGAAATGTAGATAGGCTAGATAGGCTTAGTAGATTAGGCTGGGCGCTAGGCGCTAGACGGAGATGAGAGACAGTGGATACTGTGTTGGTGGGGCTTTAGGGCGATAACATTGGCACACGAGTTCACTGTTTGTTCTTATTTGGATGGAATCCTGGTGCATTTGAGCTCTCTGCTTGGTACATGACCATCTGGACGTGTGCGTGATTTTGCAACTTGTATTTCTGTCTATCCCTCTCGCTCATATTCCTTGCACTTCCAAAGAATAGAAAAAATGTGGATTTATCAAGCAATGAAATTTTGAAATTCATGAAAAGAAGACTCGAAAATTTCAGCGTCTGCGGAATTTCGGATTTCAGGAAGATTTCGAAAAACGAATTTGTGCCAAAGGAAGAATTCCAAAAAAAGGAAAAAGAAATTCTGAATCGGCAGTCGGGTAATGAATCGTGAATGGGAACTAATTAGGTTAACCTAATCCATCAATCCATCAATCCATCAATCCATTAATCCATCCATCAGTCAATCCATCAATCAATCAATCAATCAATCGATCGATCGATCAATCAATCAATCAATCAATCAATCATGCAATGAATCAATCAATTGCTCAATCGATCGATTCCCTATGTTGCGCGCCAGGTCAGGTTCGTCAATCAATCAATCAATCAATCAATCAATCAATCGATCGATCGATCAATCAATCAATCAATCAATCAATCGATCGATCGATCGATCAATCAATCAATCAATCAATCAATCAATCAACCAATCAATCAATCAATGAATCATGCAATCAATTAATCAATTGCTCAATCGATCGATTCCCTATGTTTCTCGTCAGGTCAGGTTCAATCAATCAATCAATCGATTAATCAATCAAGCAATCAATCAGTCAATTGCTCAATCGATCGATGCCCTATGTTGCGCGTCAGGTCAGGTTCGTCAATCAATCAATCAATCGGTTGATCAATCAATCAATCAATCAATCAATCATGCAATCAATCAATCAATTGCTCAATCGATCCCGTATGTTGCGCGTCAAGTCAGGTTCGTCAATCAATCAATCGGTCGATCGATCAATCAATCAATCAATCACAATCAATCACAATCAATCACAATCAATCAATCAATCAATCAATCAATCAATCAATCATGCAATCAATCAATCAATTGCTCAATTGATCGATTCCCTATGTTGCGCGCCAGGTCAGGTTCGTCCTGATTCATGAGCGTGCGGCTCGGATACCAACTGATACACGCCCAGTCTAGCGATGTATGGGGAGCCAATGATCCGCAAACTGATGAAAAGGACTGAAATGGACAATGCAGTGTCAGCAAAGCATCAACAAGCAATGTACATCCAGATACATATGAAAATAGCACAATGTAGCGCAACAGAAGACTCAATGATATGACTTGACCTATCCGAGACTGATTGGACATCCCATCAAACACTACACTTGTGAGAGAGGGAGGAGGGACCGCATACATGGAAGAAAGGTCCTTCCTTGCACACACACATGGGAGAGATACAGCAAATGAAGAGATGGGGGAGAGGTTAGACGAAGATGGAGGTGAGGGAGAAGACCAAGATCCCGATAGAGAAGTCCAAAAAATAGTCTGCCTGCCGAATATCCAGTCAATGTCTGCCACAAGTATGTCGAATCAGATCCTGAGACTCATGCCCGATGTAACCTCTGCCTGCAACCTCTCTCTCTCTCTCTCTGAAAGAAGAAGAAGTAGAAGAAGAATAAGGAAGGAGGGAGCAGAGATGGAGGGCGAGAAGAAGATGAAGAAGATGTCGTCCTCCTCGCTGTCTCACATGCAGGCCGCCATGTACTGACCGCCTGGTGTCCCTGTGCAGGTCGCTGGCGCAGAGTCGAGCTATGGTGCCCAGGTAAGTGCTATGGTGCCCAGGTAAGTACCGCCGCTGCAGGTATGGCCTCCGCCTCTCTCGCTCTACCAACACCTCTACCTCTAACACAGCGCTGTGTCGTGCTGCTCCAGCAGCGTGTCACCCAAGAAGTGAGCTACTCGAACTGTGTCTGCGTTGGCCTGGCCCAGCTATAAGTAGCGCTGGGCCTCGCAGGTGTGCCTCCGTGTGCCTCTGGTCCTAGGCCGAAAACGTGGCTACTGGGTCTGGGTCTTGACCAGACGTCCAGACCCTCCCTGTTGATGCAGCAGGGACGTCCACTACTGGACGAGCACGAACCTGGCCCAAACGGGCCTGCCTGTGACCCAACAAGGCCCAAAGTGTGGCCTTTGTATGAACAGACCGGAGGTCTGTTCGGACAAACTGCAAGTACGAAACGATGCCTGAACGGACAAAAATAGGACAGCAAATAAATAAATTCTGCCTTAAATTGAAACCTGCGGCCCTAAGGCCAGCCGTGGGCCTCCAGGGCGCGCGCCTGAGGTGCGTGCGGCCTGGCGGCCCCCAGTAATCATCGGCCCCCAAAATGGGGCCTGTGTGCAGGCTCAGCATCTGACACCATTCCTCAACAGTTCCATGTGTGTTCCATTCAGCCCACACGGTCTCTCCTGGCATGCGAGCCAGGACAACTCCGATCCGCCTTTCTTTGTTGGCCCCTCTCATTCTTTTGTCATGCGATTCTGTCAGGATTTGAACAACTACATGCGTGTTCCATTCACCCAGCGGTGTCGCTCCTTGCATGCCAGCCAGGATAATTCCGTTCTGCATTCTTGTTGTTGGCTGTATTCAGTGTATTGTTGTATCATCCTCGATGGCTTCTTGGATGTTTTGGCTGCCTCTGTTTTGGCTGTATGGTTAAATCGTCCTTGATGGCTTCTTGGATGTTGTGCGGCAGGATTTGGTGGCTGTATTGTTGTATTGGCCTTGACTAGGGTATCTCCGGTTTGCCTCCTGTTTGTTGGCTGTGTACCGTCAAATCGTCCTTGATGGCGTCTTGGATGTTGTTGGGCAGGATTTAGCATTTGCTCCCAAAGCCTCAACCACGTACAGGAGGATTCCATGCTCGAGGAGCTGCGATCAGTGTTCGGATGATGCTCCTCGACAGTGCATGTACCAGAGACACTATGCAGAAGACAGCACAAGCAAAGGGTTACTCGCAAGTGATGTGATCGGATTTGGTGAGAAAAGCACAATTCAAGGAGCTCGTATTAATTTTGGATGCGAGCTGTTTGAGTCAGGTGACATCTACTTGCAGAGAGCGGATGGCATCATTGGCCTGGGAAGAGGAACGTTGAGCGTGGTTGATCAGCTAGTGAATCAACAGGCAATGGAAGATGCATTTTCTATCTGCTATGGTGGTATGGGGGAAGTGGGAGGGGCCTTGTTGCTTGGATCAAGCCTGCCGCCCCCGGATATGAAGTTCACTCTTCTCGATCTCCAGAAGAGGTCTGGATATGGCAACGACTCATCTTGCTTCTTATTCTTATTCTCACACAAGCAATGCTTCTTTTCTTTGCAAGCCAGATAAGTGGGTCAATGACAAACCTTCATGTTGTGTGTGTGTGTGTGTGTGTGTGTGTGTGTGTGTGAGAGAGAGAGAGAGAGAGAGAGAGAGAGAGAGAGAGATTGGTTTGGGAAGTTGGAAGAGATTGACCAGTGGTTTGAGTGGCTGTATGAGTTGGGCGTTGACGAGCTTAGAAATTTTCATTTTGCCGCCAGTCTAAAAAGTCCCCTTTTTTCTATCCCGTGCTTCAAATGAGGCTGCTGTTAGGTCCATAGGAAGGGCCAGTACAGGTCAGGACGTGATTTGTCGCATACTGTAAAGGTGCAGACTAGAACAAGAACAGACCTCTCTCACACAGTACAAGATAGCGCAACGGAAGGCTAATATACCAATGATCAGACCAATCGATGTCGCAATGTAGGCCAAACATACATCGTCATCATTCCATGCTGTGAAAAGGGCTGGCGCTCACACCAAGACTTCGGTACAGGTCCCAAGTAATCCCTCGTCCAATGTCTCAATCCCAATGTCGAGTCTGGATCCAAATGTCGTCAAGTCCCAAAGTCACCAATCTCTCTCTCTCTCTCTCTCTCTCTCTCTCTCTCTCTCTCTCTCTCTCTCTCTCGCGCGCGCGCGCGCGCGCGCGCGTGCGTAGTCTGCAGATACTGAGAAGTTAGGTAGCGAGATGGTGAGGGAGAGATGGTGGACTTAGAAGAGGAAGAAAAACTCTCTCTCTCTCTCTCTCTCTCTCTCTCTCTCAGTCCGGTGCTAACCTGTGAAGGTGGCGCCTTGTTGCAGGTACATCGAAGACGAAGCTGGAGCTATGGCACCACAGTTAAGTCTCCCTGGCCTCCGCCAACCATCTCTCTCTCCAATGCTACTCTAGCTCCTAATAGCGCCCAACGCTGAAGACTACTGCTAACGCTACTACTACTACTGCAGCATTCCTCCAAGTGCTGCTGCCGAATCTTGAAGACTGCCTGAAATGTCTGGGAAGTCCCTATGAACTACCTGCAGCCTGCAAGGCGGGCCAGTATTATATAGTGTTGGCCCGTCCGGGAGGCTGCTCTTGCCAATGCCGAAATGTGCCAGACCCTGGCGTTGGAGTTCAAACAGAGGTTGTCTTGAAACAGGCCCTAAAATGGCCTGTGCTAAACCATGCTCTGGCGCCTGAGTTTCAGAGCAGGTCGACTTCATGAGGACCTGAAAATGACCCTCGTTTTCGGGCTTTTAGGCTGATGAGACGACATAGGGCCTGAAGGCCCTTGTTTTCAGGCTTTAAGGCTGAAACGATAGAGGGCCTGTAGGCCCTTGTTTTTAGGCTTTTAGGCTGAAAACGACACAGGTCCAAGGAAAATGAGCGATAGCGAACTTCAGAAAGCAAACAGCATCATACACATGAGACCAGATAGTCTTGACCTTGAACCAATATCCGAATTGCATCACGAGTTCCACCAAATAAAAGCACAACAAAAACTCATAATTGACAATGTTCGAATAGTCTCATCATCATCAATAAAGAACCAACATCGATATCCTATCTGGCGCTTGGCGCTGTCGAACGCATTGGTCTGGCACCGAACAAGCGGGGCAGGACCCTCCCAGCTGCGTCACGCAGGAGTTGGTTTGTTCCTCGTCGCAAATTCACATGGAGCTTCCGCAAGCCGCTCCGGCCGAGTGCGCCAGCCATACCTCTCGCGAGCTTCTGCGACAGGATAGGGCCTACGCGAGGCACAAGTTACCTCCACCTTACGGGAGTTGTCATCTCCCTTCGGTGGGCGTATCCCCGCCGAGCTACCAGTCCACAGTACGAAAGCTAATCAGTAGCAATTGCAGAGGTGGACCAGCCGAGGGCGTTTCTCGTTCGCTGTAGCATAGGGGGTACGCGCGGTTTTACGCCTCTATCGGACCCGCACGCGGACCGACGCCGTGGGGGTTTAAGGTCCCAAGCGTGACTCGTTGTCGGTTGACTAGGACACATCCCACACACCCCGAGTACACCACTCTAAAGACATAAAATTTAAAACACGCACGCACACACACATATACAAAACGACACAGAACAAACAACGCGACAACACTCCGAGTCCCTTAGCAGCCATCCCATAACACTCTGATGCGAAAATCGAATAGGCGACGCACGCGAGACTTAGTATAAAGCCGCGCGAACGCAGGGCTAACTCATATCGACTCGTAATGCAAGCATACGCAAGCAGTCGCAATGATGGCGTACTATGTAGTACCCATACTCATGTAGTCCTCGTTAATCTTGAGGTTCGCATTCGACACGCAAGTGTCGGCTGACAGACACCTTGAGGGAATGATCTCTCGACACTAGACAACCGCCAAGTGCGGTTGAGAACCACACCCTCTTCTGCACTCTGCAGCGAGTGGGTGGTACACAGGTTCATACCTGCGGTGGCAATCGTCTTTTATCGCTCTGGAGACCAGCTCCATCATTTAGGGTCTGAAAAGAAATCAAGGGGTTTGACTTTGACGGCAACCATGGACTACAGCGTCCAACTATAGAAATTCTAAAAAGCAAAGGATAAAAGGGGATCTCCCTTTTCTCTTAAAAACATAATCTGTTTAACCCCTACGTGTGGTCACAATAGGCCGCACGAAAACACTCAAGACATATGTACGTACATATATAGATAAGGGTTATTAATATAGGACGATCACTTCTCACAGTCACAGTGGGACTCCTCCCAACCATATATACGTATGTGATCGCTGGCAGTGAAATCCAAAGCCTGAACCACAAAACATACCTGCAATCACATCAAAGATTCAACCAAAAGTCCACACACTAGACGGGGTCAACTTCAACCATTCTATGCGCTCACACCCCTCGCTTTAGCCATGCAAGCCTCACTCTTGTGCAACTCCTCAAAATAAAATACTCAGTACTTTTCTTAAATGGCTATTCAAATAAAGTCCGGACGAAAACACAACGAACTAATTCAAACCACAAGGCTAAAACCTTTAGGTTAAGTGGCAAGAGTGGATTGGAGTTGAGTCGTAAACCGACGAATCAACAACAGACTTGTTATCAGTGATAAAAGAAAGATGATCCTCGTAGTATCAAGTTGACTCTAGTCCGAATCCTGAATCAAACGATCAAAAGGACCTGTAACACAAGACATGTCAATCCCCAGACTAAACCTATAAGTTCATGGGGAATATTCTCCATATTACAATCTCACTCAAGGTTCTCTTGCAAACTAAGTCTAGCCTACCTCTAAGCCAGTATCCAACGCAATGTAGACCTATGTGTTACGATCCTGGTCATTTCCCAAGTGCAAATTCACAATGAAAGACAATGTCACCCAATTGCGAAAGAAATGAAAGCACTTGCAAAGAGATAAAGACCAGAGGAGAGAGAAAGAAGAAGAAGAAGAAGAAGAAGAAGAAGTACACCAGCAAGACCAATGACAATTTCCGCCTTCTCTCTCCACCTTCCTCCTTCCTCCTCTTCACCAATCTTATTCTTCTCTCAACAATAATAATAACAATGAATGGATGTACCAGCATCAATATCCGAAGTTCCCTTTTATTGCTGACTCAACTCACAACAACAACAACAACAACAACAACAAGTCCACCATGGCTATGGCTTCCCTCCTTCAACCTCCTCTCTCATGCATAGGCCATGGCGGACTACTGAGAGGCAGCTATGATGCTGCCCTGATGTCCAGAAGACAACCCAAAGCAGCTATGCCGCCGCTTGACTTGGTCCGCTATGCCTGACTCTGCCTCGAGCTGCCCTGGTGCAGCGCTACCCCAATTGGGGCCTTCCAGATGCAGCGCCCAACAAGGTGATGAAGACGGTGTCCACCATAGCCAGCTAAGTGCCCTGCCACTCTCCTACCTTACCCCCGTCTTCCTCCTCCTCAGGCTAGGTTGCTCGCCATAGCCAGCCTGAGCTCCCAGCTACGTTCACCTCCGCCCAACGCTGTAGCAGACCAGCGCTAGCGCTCCAGCAGCATGACGCCAATCCTTGCACACCGCAAATGAGGAAGAGCTCTCCGCTCTTCCTGAAGATATAGCGGCCTATCGGCCTCCTGGGCGGTGACTTCCTAGGCCGAGTGGCCTCCCAGCAACTGGTACCTCCTCCCTTTTGGAGGGAAACATCATTGCAGGCTCTGTTATTGTTTGCACAGGCCCTAGACCCGGATTACTTGGACTGGTACCGGCCTGCCTCTAACCTACCGCTACTGGACCTCTAAAAATGCCAACTTTTTGTCTTCTTGTGCTCGGCCTACCTGCTCCTTGAGTGTTTTTCCCCAGCTGCTCTAAGTGTCGTGGGCCTACTCCCCCGCTACCGGCGCGTTCACCTCCCTGCAACCCTTCAAGTCACGGCCACAGGTAAGTACCGGCCCGACGGGCCTTGCAATCACACACACATACCCAACCGACAAGCACTCAGACAGGCATGCAACCCAGTAGGCACGCACACACACAAAACTGGCAAGCACTCAAACAGGCATGCAAACCAGTAGGTACGCACACACACAGACTTGGAACCACATCAGAATGCGGGAATCACAGCGAGGCATTCATTCCAGTGACAAATCCCATAAATCAGCAGTGTTCTCAGTCTGTGTTTTTGGCGAGTCATTACATATGGCAACATCTCCCCTATTCAAGGTGGATTGCCAGAACTGCCACCTGTCAAAATACAGGCTAACTCCCTTAAACTAAGAAAATTTCGGCATCGCTTTCTGTAGGAAAAATGCCTTTTCAAAATTTATACTAACTCAAGTATGAAAACAAAAATAATCTATAATTTTGGCAAGTCAAAATTTGTCTAACTCCCTGAATTAGTAAAAATTTGGGCAGCACTCCGTTAAGAAAGACTTTCCAGATTTTTACTAAATCGGATATGAACCTAGAGCAAAACTTGAGTTCAACTAAGACAAAATTTAACTAGCCCTTT